TTGTATATATATATATATATATATTTGTTACTGTCGTCCCAGCTCTCTCCATTCCAAAGCTGAATGAATATGTAGAAAAATAGATATGCCCTTCTTTCGCTCAACCAGGATAAAGTACAACTCAGCATCATAACCCAACATTTTAGAAGTGGGAATAAACATTTGCGTTACATATCATTAAATTTTTAATGGAAAACTTCGATTTATAATAAATAATACCTTATTTTCCTGAGTGTCAAACACTATTTCAAATGCAGAAAATGTCTGGTAAGATGGCATGAAGAGGTGGATATTAAAACAAATTTTAATTCAATGGGATTGTGTTGTTTTGATAAAGAACTGAATAATCAGCATTGTAATAAAGTGACTCCTGTGGGTTGAGGAGCATGCAACTTATTTAACGCAGTAAAGACTGCCGTTTATTAGAATGGAGCGATAATGAACCTTCAGCCACACGCGTTTGTGCCACAGAGAGAGAGAGAGACAGAGACAGTAGTCATTATTGAATATTCATCGGCTGGCAAAAGGAATATATCTTATCAGGCACCTGTAATTTGCTCTGTCATTTTAATCTATAAAGGAGTCAAGACCCGATAAGCAAACCAAATTGTCAGCAAGGCATTCTACAACCATCCACTTTCATTCTTTGCCGCTCTCGACTTACCCTCTCTGAACATATCTTTAATTCACGATTTTAGTTCCAGCATATCCAGATCTTCTAACCGGGGACTACGTAGAAGAAAGCAGAAAGACTACTGGGAGTATTCATTCTCAGAATTACACAATTCTGGTGAGATATTTCACAACTATCTTCCGATTATCAGCGACAGATGATATCACAGTGTTGAAGTTCAATGTTGTCAATTCGTGAAAAATGCTTCTCTAGTCGAGTGTGCGTAACTTAAACCTAATTACAGCCAGAAGCTAGGTAAGAAGCTTGGTAACTTATCGGCTCTTAAAATATTGACACAACCAGAACAATCAAACCTGACGATCATAATCCTGCGTAGAGAAATAAATAAACATGTTTACGTGTTCAATAAAGCTTAAGAACAGTTTATACCGGTCCACCCAAAATTATCAAATGACAAAACTAAAATCTGAACTCGGGTAATGCTTGCTACCATTCGGTGCAGAAACTTTTGTCTTCTCGTCTGCTGTCCAAAAATATAAAAATTAGAATATACAAAACTATAATTTTGCCTGTTATTCTGTATGGGTGTGAAACTTGGTCTCTGACATTAAGGGAGGAAACATACACTGAGGGCGTTTGAGAACAGGGTGCTGAGGAGAATATTTCGACAGAAGAGAGATGAAGTGACAGGAGGTTGGAGAAAACTGCATAATAAGGAGCTTCATAACTTGTACTCTTCTCCAAGTATAATTAGAATGATCAAGTCAAGGAGGATGTGGTGGGAAGGTCATGTAGCACGAATGGGGGAGACTAGGAATGCATATAGGATATTGGTCGGAAAACGAGAAGGAAAGCGACCACAAGGAAGACCAAGGCGTAGGTGGGTGGACAATATTAGAATGGATCTTAGAGAGATAGGATGGGATGGTATGGCTTGGATAGATCTGGCTCAGGATATGGACCAGTGGAGGGCTCTTGTGAACACGGTAATGAACTTTCGGGTTCCATAAAATGCTGGGAAATTCTTCAGTAGCTGCTGAATTGGCGGCTCCTCCAGAAGGGCTTAGCTCCATGAGTAAGTAAGTAAGTAAGTAAGTAAGTATCATTTATACAGATGTAACAGACGGATCCACTCAGCCTCGTGACGATAATTGAGGAGCTATTTGAAGGAAATAGCGGTTCCGGTCTAGAAAACCGAAATTAACGGCCGTGGGGATTCGTTGCGCTGACCACGCGACACCCTCTATCCGCAAATGCTGGCACTAATCTTCGCCGATAAACGGCGGTCGTTCCGTTTGTATAGTTCGCTTGCGGACTAAAATCACAGAGTTTAGACAAATCGAGAATTTAAATGTTTGTTTATAAAAGTAAAACTTCCAATTTGAATTTAAAATTTGTGCATAATGTTTCCATATTGTTATATCGATATTTACCGTGACTGAAGTCACATTTCTGTGATCTTGTCGTGGACAGTCTTACAATTAGCACAGCTGCAACCGACCCTATAATTCAATCAATTCTCATTGTGGTTTTTCCCATACTAATAAATTCCCTTGTTGGTATTCTGGTACTTCACAATATTATATTACAAGAAAAAATTCTTCCATATACCTTATCAATTTCGCTCTCTCTCTCTCTCTCTCTATATATATATATACAAGGTGTGGCAATAAAGAAACCGGATTCATGCTCTAACCCTTTATTAAAAAAAATCAGACAGTCGAAATGTTATCCCCTTCAATGTAGTCCCCTCCCCGATCCCTACACCGCTCCATGCGAATTTTCCACTGTTGGAAGCAGTGCTGCAGGTCATCTTGTGTTATGCTCTTCAAGAGTTGCGTCGCTTTTGCTTTCACTGCATCCACGGACTCGAACCTGGTCCCTTTCAGCGCAGACTTGATTTTTGGGAAGAGAAAAAAGTCGCACGGTGCTAGGTCCGGAGAATACGGTGGATGTTCCATCACTGGAATGTTGTTTTTTGCCAAATACCTCTTCACAGATAGCGCGTTGTGTGCTGGCGCGTTGTCGTGATGAAGAACCCATGAGGCATTCTTCCACATGTCTGGTCTCCTTCGTCGCACACGTTCACGGAGGTACGTCAAAACATTTTTATAATAAACCTGATTGACAGTCTGACCTTCAGGCACCCAATCAATGTAGATTACCCCCCGGATATCGAAAAAAACAATCATCATTGCTTTGAATTTGGACTTGCTCATGCGCGCTTTCTTCTTCCTAGGGGATTTGGGGCTCTTCCAATGCATGGATTGTCGCTTAGTCTCTGGATCATATTGAAGAATCCAAGTTTCGTCACACGTAATTACGTTTTGGAAGAAATCAGGATCATTTTCAATGTTTTCAAGAGTGTCAACACAGCAATTCACTCGATGTTCCTTTTGCTGGGGGGTAAGGATTTTTGGCACCACTTTAGCACACACCTTTTTCATGCCCAGATCGTCGTGCAAAATCTGTCTAACACTTTCCTTATTGATGTTCGTAAGTTCAGAAATTGCTCGAATGCTCAGTCGACGATCTCTTCGAACAATTCTAGCGACCTTCTCCACATTCTCTGGAGTTTTCGCAGTGGGAGGACGGCCCGATTTTGGATCGTTCCCGACGTTTTTCCTACCCTCCATAAACTTCTTAAACCACTCGAAAACTTGCGTGCGAGATAGACACTGATCACCATATACTTCTGTCAACAAATTGTAAGTTTCAGTGGCAGATTTTCCAAGTTTTGTGAGGAATTTGATGTTAGCACGTTGTTCTGCATTAGCACTCAGCATTATTCCGACGGAGCTCAGAAACACGATCCGCTTCTAACAATGGTCGCGGCCAGACTAACCGATGCACGTGAATGAAACTTTGTGTGACGGTAGAGGGAAGTCCAAGGGTCAATGCCCTACCCTCCTCTTCGTCAATGACGTGGCCGGAAATGAGTCATAAAAGTAATCCGGGTTCTTTATTGCCACACCTTGTATATAAGTAAAGCTATCCCTGTAACAGGCCATGAAGGCCCATAGGGTTGCGAGACGTTGAGGGTCCCACATTATCTAGACAGTCGGCTCAAAGATGGCGGTAAGGTTATCAGCCTTACGCGCCAGCCTCGCTTTACTCCCCAGGAAAATTATTTAATTAATTCCTGGTACTCATTTCTGTTAGAGCTGAGTGAACCCCAGGGCCATATTGCGGCCGGACCTTTGTTGTTAAACATATACCTTAATTATTTCTACGGCAAAATTCATCAGTGTTGTTTTCTTATTTTTGCTGATGACATAAAAGTTTTTAGTTGTATTACGTCTATTGATGAGCGCCTTCTTTTGCAGTCTGGTATCAAATTGGTGCACAAATAAGCTTAATGCTGGTAAAGAAAACCTTTCTTCAGAAGAAATTGTGTGATGAAAACAATATCCTTTATAAATGTGGAACTTTTCTTGTACTTCGATCAACATGTTCATTATTTATTTTGTCACACTATAAATTTGCTAGGCCTTGTGCGGAATATTCCTCCGTTTCCTCACTAGATTCTTTATGCTTTACCTCAGCCTCATCAGCGGAGAATTTGAATGTTATTTAGAATTACCTTACCAAACCTTGATTTCAACAAAGTAGAATGTATCAAAGTCTACGATATAACGTCGTGTAGTCCGTTGAAAGCCAACCGACGTTTCGGAGGAATATATCGCTTCCATCTTCAGGGTATAAGAATAAACCAAGCAAGAAACCATCGTGAAAGAGGGTGGCAGACGAAGAAATGTTGCCTATAGCTCCTCGTTCAGATATACGCATGTGCTTTATGGGCATGTGAAACGTCACGCCTTACCCGGTATGTCAGACTGCGATGAAAGTAGTCGGAGCGCTTTCTGTGTCGACTTAACTTCGAACAAGTCTACCGCGTGCAGAATGCACTCTTTAAGATTTGCTATTTTATGACTTACCACTTTTCGCACACCCACACTCTTAGTACCCTGCCATTCGATGCTGTCTTTTAATAATCCATGCCGTATATAATTCAATTCAATTCATGTTTATTTACGTGCAATAACTTAACAGCACAGTGGCCAATTACAAAGTTAGCACGAGTATATAAGGTACAGAAAATAATTAAAACAAAATACAAATATGACAAATCTGTGAACATAAATCTAAAGAAGACTGAAATATATACATATATTTATGAAATATTACGAATGTTGCTAATACTGTTAGTAACTAAATACTAAGATAAGACAACTGGGAGTGATAGCATAGAATTAATAACAAGTCAATAAATTAAAACCAATTACATAAGAAAATAATAATAATAATAATAATAATATTAAATTTTATGAATTTTATGCCCGGTATATTTTTCCATAGATTCGTGAATTAAATAAAAAATATATAGAGTACTTGTTCTTTAATTAAAATGTTTGAGCTTCTAGAGGTTAATGCGGCTTCTCCCCAAATAATATGAATCTGTTCACAAAAATAAAAAAAATCAAGGAAGAACAGAATTGTTGCATTTTTGGTTGAAATTCATACGAACTGGATTATTCACGAGATGATGAGCCTAACAATTTCAAGAGTTCTTGGTTTCTAGGATACAACGTCGTATATTCCGACGTTTCCGACGAATATGTTGCCTCCATCTTCACGGTCTAAGAATAAAACTTTTATCTCGTATATTTTCCTTCTGTCATCCGGCAAGACGTATTGCTCAAGAATATTTTAAGTTCACACAATGTATGAACACCAGCAAATTACTGCAGAAACAAACTATTAATTTCTAATGACAACGTACTGTTGTACGCCACTAACTGTTAAATATGTATTCTCTAAATTTCTTTAAAAGGACATTAATATGTTCGGTTCACAAAACGACGTCAAATAACGTCGAAAAGCTTAATTTCCTTCATGCCTATACGTCTAATTCATTATTTTAATATCACCAAACATTAAGCTTATGGGATAAGTCTTTTGCCCTCTAGAGTTCTGTTGAATAAAAATCAAAATCAAACTACTAATCCAGCCATTACTCCAGCTACAGACGCAGCTAACATCGCACTTATCAAACTTGCGACTAGCTACCCGACCTGAGATTTCTGAATCGACGGCAAGTGGCAGCCTTACTTACCTTTCTTCGACTTGGCTCCAATTTTAAGGCGCGAAGGCCACATGATGTAAGTGTTCGTCTCGATCATGATCTGTAAAGAAAGAAAATGTTATGATTTGATCATTTAAAGTACCACATTCGAATATGGAATGAGGGCATTGATACCTGAAACCAGAGAAGTTGTAGGTACGAAATTCTTTTTCTCATAAAAGTAATACTGTACATGAATCTACTAACTTTAGTTTTCAACTTCTTAAGCCAAATGTTTTTCATCTCGAGAATAGCATCTTAGTGTCTCACAACGTTCTAGAACAACCCCTAATGGGCATGAGCTTCAAACTTGAACTTATCACAGGAAAAAAATCATTATCCTGAAATATGGTTCCAATTAGAATAAAACTTAAAAAAAAAGCATTTTTTAAATGATGAATATTTAACTAAATACAAGAAAAATAATTTAAATGTATATGTAATATAATTAGCTTCGAATAGTGGGATTTTATTTACAGCAAAATAAGACCAATTCAGTATGAAAACCCTCAAAACATTTGAAAAATATTTTTAATTATGAGTGGAGTAACTTACAACTGTCCATTCATCTTGTAATGCTCTACAGTTGGGTGGGGACATACTAAATTGGTTACAAATCTCGTGACATCCGTCTAAACCCATACCACACAAGATATACGAGGGCTATACGGAAAAAAAAACTTTCGTTTATTTTAGGCAACTAGTGTAGGAGCCGTGGAGAGTTGGCGCATACGAGGTAGCATCATTTGACTCAGGGCCGCGCCATAGCTCAAGAGGTTAGTCGCTGGCTTCCCACCGCGCCGGCCCGGGTTCGATCCCGGGTCTGGTCAAGNTCAGCTGCGAAATTCGCGCTGTTATCCGTTTCATCACTCTAAACAGGAGTGTTGTGGAAATCCGTTGTGGATTATGCTCCACCTCATAAGGGGCGTCGTCCACTGGGGTGGTATAGGATTTTACGAAAAATTTTAATAGAAAATTTTAATGGATTTTAATTATTTTTATGTTATTTTTAAGTGGACTAGAACGAGCGGTTTTAGGGCACATCGGAACAGTGTAACAGTTTGAATGCATTAAGACATATGAAGATGGCCATCTATGACCGAAACATGTGTGAATGGTGAATAAACAATTGTTGCATTATTGACGGACTGTGAATACATAGACGTTTAACTAAAGATTTGCAACAGGATGCTGAAATACAGAACAACCGCACAGATACTGTTCTTCATACAATCATAAATTCTGTTCTTGTCAAAGATATCAACAGTCCACTGATCTATGTACGGGTTTCACTTTTAAAAATTTTATACTCTGTTAAATATTTTGTTGAATGAGATATTTTCAGAAATTAAATAAGTTCTATTTGAGTTTATGTATAAATAGAGTTTATACTCAACCCCGATAAGAAATAAAAACAAATTTGCCCCATAAATTTAAGTGTACTCCCGCAATGGGATTCTTTGAAATTCTTCTTTTAATTTGGAGGAAGGAGCGCTACCTCGCCATTATGAATTCACTGCAGAAAATGTGGTGCACAGCTTGACGTGTTAGAACATATTTACGGCATAGTAATATTTGTCCAATACAAAGGTTTGTTCAAAATATTCGATTCATAGTGAGTTACTATAGACAGATTAAAGTTATCTTTTATTTTCCCTTCATTTAATGCGTAACTATCTCAGATTCCCCGTAAATTTCTAGATAAATTTAACACATTAAATTATATCTGTAGAAAATTGTAAATTTCTTCAATAGCCCATAATTTTTTTCTAAGATCTGTGCAAGTCAGAAATATAAAGCAGTGGCTAGGAACCAAAAGCACACGAAACTGTATCGTTACTATAGTAACGACCAATAGCATCCATAAACACTTGGAATTACTGGGTTTTTGGACTTTGTCCTTCGTCCGGTATTCTAAAAATTTAGAGAACATAAGGTTTCGGGAACTGAATCTGTCTCCATCCTCAGGTGTGGGGGAGCGGAGACATACTCTTTTGGGTCCCTTAGAAAGAGGTAACCTCAAACAGTGATCAGTGGTCCAGTGATTGAGGTTAGCTCTTTCTAAGGACCTCAACAGAATAGATATGTCCCCCCTAACCTGAGGACGGAAACAGATCCAGGTTCAGAAACTTTTGTGTTCTCTAGAAATTTTTAATACTGGACGATGGACAAGTCCAAAAGCACAGTAACTGAGTGCTATACACCCTCGGCAGAACCATCTAGAATCTACGAACATCCATAAAAATGTGAACTTTCAATTTAAAACACTAAAAATTCTGTGCCCGTGATTCATCAACTGTTCCATCAATTTGTGAATGGCGATAAAATATTTATCCCGCTCGCCGGGCTAAGTCAGTGCCTGAAAACAGGACAGAACTTATTGCCATCTTCAGGAAAAACATTTTAAATTTACATCACTTTTGTGGAAACAGTAAAACTAAGAGAAGAATGTTTTGGTTCCACAAAACATCGGAGGGCTGTAAGGAAGAGTTTCAGGAATCGCCCACTCTTAAGAAAAGCCTATTTTTTTTTTTCAAAATCCGGCAAATAAGCACAACAGCAACCAAATAATTATGCTACAAAACTAAAATTTTAAGAAACTAGTTCGTACCTTCTGGAAAAACGAGTCGGCAGGCTCCAAAGCTTCATCGTCACCTGAAATAAAAGAAAACAGCAATTACAATTTAAGCGGAATTTCAGGCCACCAGTTCCATACTTACTTCCTGCTTTAGCATGTCCAACTCTGGATTCTGCCCACAGAGTGCACTTGTGTGCTTTATTTGGTTCGCATAATAAACAGTGACTGTTTCCTTAACAACAGTAACCAGTTGTTCTTTATAGCGGAGGAGTAATGTGTTTCCCGAGAGGTACGAACTGAATTTTTTTTATATTACTTAGAAGAAATTCAGTTCTGAAAGTATTTTAATGGGGTTTACATATTTATATCCGCCATATAAACAATAATAAATGTATGCCTATTTAGTGTCTTCTTATCCACTACATGTTTCGTTCGAGAGACCATCATCACGAGGGTCACAAGAACACTGATTACAAGGTTTGTAGGTATCCTACAATGAAATCAGCTGAGTCTGTCTAGTTTTACATGCATTACTACATTTACAGTCATCGAAAGCACAACGACATCTGTAGTCAAAAGGTATCGATTAAAGTTAGAAAACTAAACTAGAGGAAAACGTTCACTGATTTGAAATTTCTTGCAATAAAATACGAGTAACAGTCTTTTTAAACGTTTACTGTTTCTCTGCTTACAAGAATAAAATGTTTGGGAGCGAAATGTTTCTTTATTTAACAGAAGGTCAATGTTGGTTAAAAATATTCATGGCACAAGATTGAAACTTTTGCGAAATGTCGCTTTTGATGTGATCTAAATGTTCTTGCAGTTATCAGGATTTTTTTAATGTAGATAGCAATACCTCCAACAGGCAGATGCAGTGTTCGTAAATGACGTCTTGTTGAATTAATTTATTAGTAAGTGCTCTTTTACAGACGAGATATGAAAGGCATTTGTTCTCGTTACTGCCATGAACATTTCTGAATCAACATTGTTCTTCTTTCTTTTTAATTTAAGCATCCGAAAAAAAACGATAACCTACACTTCCATTTTCATACACAGAAGAATAAGAAGAAGAAACACGTTTAAGCAATACTGGTTGATCGTAGACAACTCTATCAACTTTAAATTATTTATATTATAATTTCTAATTTTGATATTTTTACTCTCAACTCCATATTGCTCTCGATCATTGTAAATGTAGCGATGAGTCGAATCCTAGACAGAGTCAAATGATCTACTGTAGGCTAGCCACAAACCTTGGAACCTCCACCCAGATCACCCACTTCTCGGTGGGTCCCTCCAACCGAAACTTGCAGCAGATAAAAAAAGATAACAGTGAGGCATATATTATTGTTTGATGGAGGTAAACCTGCAATCCCCTTAATATTAGAATATTCGCATACATACACAACATGGCGACGATGTTTAAGGCAACTGGTTAGTAAAACGATGAAAATTATACTCAAAGGCAGAAGCAGAAAAATAAAAAATAAAAAAAGGAAAGAGAGTTATCAGTAAAATAGGTTGAAGCTGATTCACAAAGTGTACTTTCTACAAACACGAAGATGCAATATTTACTAAACATCAGTTTACCCATTGCTTTGTATGCCCAGGAAGTCTCATCTCTTAACTGAAGAGCATCATTGAAATAGAAGGCCTCCCCCCTCAAAGTAGAACATTCTAAGGATGGATGAAACTGCATAAAAACACCAAGATTTATTTTTTATATATTAAATTAAATACGTTAATCGTGTTGAGTACGCAACATGCATCGTATACAAGTTCTAACCCGTATAACAGTTGCTGGGATAAACTCATGATATCAGCCTCTAGGAGCCCAAATATTGTAGGTACGACTAAACACATGTTACGAAGGCGCTCTGAGGACATGAAGCGAGGCTCCTTTCGTTCTGAGTTCAAGATAGTGTATCGTCCCGATGCTGCAAGAGCAATATTTTGGTTCGACAACAGTGTCTGTTTCTATCATTCCTACTTGCGGCCTAACTCGCAAAACAAATGGACATTTTGGCCGTTAGAGAACTGCACAAAAATAATTTCGATGCTACGATACGTGTTTAAGAATCCGAAACCAACAAATTCTCTATATAGCACTTTTCGGTATTCAGAACTTATTCCAAAATTGACTGGTTCCATATATCCAGATTCTGGAATTCCTGGACTATTAATCCACAAAACCTTTTCCTGAAATGGGCATAATGGAGTTCAAATACAAAAATTATCTTTTTTTTCCCCCCGAACAATGTTTGCCTTGCAGATTTTCTTCTTTTTTATATGCCTACTGAAATCCCAGTACATTGTTTTTCTTTCTTTTTTGAGTGGAAAGGAATATACTGTAGCAATGTTTCAACTATGAACTTCTTACAAACTGCAAGAGGAACTGCATCCTTAAAAATCAAGCAGTATCGACACACAGAAAATATCCGAAATTATATAACGTTCAAGAATATTTTTACGGTCGCCCTAGAATCGTGGATCTCTAGATTAAAAATATCTGGCACCTCATTTAATTATAATTTTAAATTTGGTATTAATATTTGGCATACTTCCTTATTTATTAAATATTATTTTACCTCCAAAATCCAAAAAAAAAAGACAGATGCCTCGCTCCACCACTCCCTCGCCCACTGCCACACCCATGTACACTCGTATGGTCGATCATTTTTAAATTCTTGCTATTCAACTGGTATTCTGTTGATATTGCAGTTTTCCCTTCCCAACGTAATTAGTGATGGAAATGTTAGGCATATTGAGTTAAGCGCAAAATCGGCAAAAAATGAACACTCAACTGATATTCCGACAATTCTATGACGACTGGGCGAATCGAAATACCTTCAAACTTGCACTCACGATTGGGGTAACATGAACTTGAGTGTCAAAAAAAGGTGCCTAAGCTAATAGTACTCGTGGCTGATAAAATAGAAAATATTTAAAATTTATATTACTCAGATGAACGCATAATTTCAGAAAGAAAATATGGCTTAAAAGATGCATTTACAGTAGCACTAAAACAAATTGACTTGAAAATACTATACTGATATGTTGGGATTTTGGACTTTATCCATCGTCCTGGTTTTTAAGATAAATAAAAACACGACGTTTCGGAAACTGGATCTGGACTCCAGTGATTGAGGCTAGCTCTTTCTAAGGGACCCAACTGAATAGGTGTTTTCCTTCACCTGAGGACGGAAACAGATCCAGTTTCCGAAACGTCGTGTTTTTATTTATCTTAAAAACCAGGACGATGGATAAAGTCCAAAATCCCAACATACCAGTGTGTTATACACCATCGTCAGAATCCTATAGTAACTACTTGAAAATACTATGACCAAATTAAAAAAAAAAGTTTATATTTGAATGAGAATAATTAGTAAAATGTGAGATTTTACATATAAGACCTAGATAACGAGCAGAAATGTTTCAGAAATAAAGGGCTAGTACACATTCGGATCTTCAGCGGAAGAAACAGTCCTTTTTACCCATAACTTTCCTTAGAAGTTCTGCCGGATTTGTCTATATCGTCGTGAATTAGACCATCTGGTGTTCACTTTTTTTGGATTTCGCAACAGTGATTTCTCATATAGTAAGGTCGTCAGCCTTGCATCTAACCTCCAACCTGGAGGACCAGGTCTCTGTATTTATGTCCCCCAGCGACAGGGTGGCCCAGTTATATGCACAGGCACCGGGTTCCCTGTTCGTCGCCTTTTACGACTCGCAGTGCTATGGTAAAACGCGAGCAATTTCTCAGATAGGTGAAATAATTTTTAAACGCAATGGTAAAATTATACCTAGGAATATGCGTTTGAAATTACGCAAAACATTGCTTAAACCAGCAGTAAAGTACAAGTAATTGGTTACAAGTGAAACTGACAGAAATGAAAATTGATTCGATTTTACGTGAAGAATTGAAGGCCGATAAGAGAAGAGATTATTACTTATAGGAAGAGATAAAGAAATTCGTGTAGATACAAGCTATCATGCAGTCATAAGTCTATGACGAAGATATCGTAAAGACGAGAATCGCATCAATAATTTCGGTCAATTCCCATGTTTGATTCCTTGCCTACCAAGTAACCTAGAAACAAGCAGTGTAGGTGTATAAAAAAATTGAAACCCGAATTATAAATTACACTAGGCATTTAATATAAAAGCTAAAACACAATATATAACACGTTAATAGTAACCACGAATTAAATTAGACTAAAAGAGGAAAATTTTTCCTCGGGAGAATTAGTGTGTTTATTACAAACCTCTAGAAATCGGCAGATGCTATTTGCTGCTGTGAAGCACTTTCATGAAGGGCTAGGTCTTGAAACATTCACACACACACACACACACATTCTCTCTCTCTCTCTCTCTCTCATAGAGCTGAGCCCTCCTTGAGAAGCAGCCAATTCTGCAGCTACTCAAAACTTCCCAGCATTTTATGGAACCCAAAGGTTCATTACAATCTTCACAAGAGCCCTCCTCACCAATTCCTATCCTGCGCCAGATCTATCCAATCCATAACATTTTATTCTATTTCTCTAAGATCCATTTTAATATTGTCAAACCACTTACGCCTTGTTCTTTCCAGTGGTCTCATTCCTTCTGGGTTTTCCAACCAATATCCTATCTGCATTCCTTCTCTCCCCCATTCGTGCTACATGGCCTGCCCATATTCTCCTCCTTGATTGGATCATTCTAATTATACTCGTATACTTATGCTACAAGCCGGAAGGTCGCGGGATTAAGTCCCGATGATATCATTGGATTTTTTCAATTGACCTCATCCTTCCAGCAGCACTATGACCCTGGGGTCGACTCAGTCTCTAAAAGAAATCAGTACCAAGAATATTCTTGAAATATTCTTGGGGGTAAAGGGCGGGCGGGTGAGTAAGGCTGACAACCCTGCCGCCATTTTTGAGACGATTGTCTAGAAAGTGTGGGACCCTCAACGTCTCACAACCCTATGGGCCTCCACGGCCTGTTACAGAGATACCTTTACTTTTTTACATTTTTACTTGAAGAAGAGTACAAGTTATGATGCTCCTCATTCTGCAGTTTTCTCCAACCTCCTGTT